ACTGAGAGGCGCTTTCGCGTGTCTTCCTTGTCTGTTGGCTGTAAAGCTTGCCCATGGTTTCCGCACATGTGTAAGCAGACTGACAGCCGTAAGTGTATTCAGTCCAACGGCGTGCTAACTAGCCCCGCCGTCACACCCTCCATGATTCAAGTCTTCACTGAATGCGACTGAGGAACGAGACTTGGGAGTCAACTTGCGGGGATCCTTCAAGTGAAGTCCCAACCAGCAGGCAGAACTGTCTTGAGCTGAAAGACAACATTTTTACAGAGCAAGCGCCTTCGTCCGAGAATGCCTGCATCCATGGTTTCCGCACATGGCTGCCGTTAGTGTTTCGTCGTTATTCTGCCAGCACTTCGCTTAAGCTGGCCAACCGTCACATTGGACAGCAAGCATTTCATTGAAGTGCTCTGGAGGCAATATGGTTACCGCGCCGATGAGAATGAGCGCGGTAATGGCTAGCGCCCGGCTGTTCTTTACTGGGAGAGGGCCTTTCGACCTGGTTAATTCGATTCTCTGCAAGAGTTCGGGTCCAGGGGGGCTGACATGTGCCGCCCCCTGATTGGCAGGGATTCCCATGGACTTTCGTCCCGGCCAGCCAGCAACAGGCAGCCCCCCGGTTGAACCAGCTGGGGGGTAGGCGGTTGGCTCTACCGGCCAGTTCAGCCCACTACGAACCTGTGGAATTGGGTCGATTTTACCAGCTACCGAGCTGGCAGGGTGCCTTCGGCACCAGCCAGGGTCCCTTCCCGGCCAGCCAGGTCCGCCCCAGGCTGCCAGTTGTGGGAATCCCTGCTGATTGGCCGAACTTCATTTGGTTTGCTGCCCTCAGCAGAGCTTGCAAGGAGCAAGAAGCAAGCAGCAAGGACTCGGAGTCGGAGCTGAGGCGCATTAAGAGGAGGGCGGAGGGCACTCTGCTCAATCATAACATCCGTAGGCAGGCAGGTGGTGCAAGTCCTCCCTAATACACCAGCAGGAGAAAGTTTGGCCTCTTCTCGTGTGAGGGATGATCGGATGAAAACTATGCAAGTAATCTACTTACTTAAAGGACAAAGCCTGACTTGAGTAGTCCCTTCTCGCTGGTATGGGCTAAATTGGGGTTTCTTTTGATGTGCTATGGCTACAGCAAGAGCAGCAACGTGGCAACGCTCTACCTCTGGGAGGCTTTGGCGGCCTGTAGCATCCTCAAGAACAACTTTGAGAGGGTTGGTGCCCTGTCCTATCAGCCTTTGCATCTGCGACCGTCCTCTTGGCCAGCAGCGCTTTTCTCAGAGCAGGAGGTGGGGGCCAGAGCAAAAGCCTGGGCAGGCTGCCAGGGGGGCTAGGGTGTCTACGCAATCGAAGGAGGTGGATGGTCCAGGGGAGCAGACTGGAAATGTAAGCAGAAAAAGCTGGATTTGTCCTCTCCGCTTCTGCAGATTGACCGTTCGGATGCAGCACCAGCTTCAAAAGGATCGCACCACTTTGTGACAGCGTTGTTAATTGCAGCAGTTCTTGTATTGGATTCGTAGCAAGGAATAGGTTTCTGCATCGTAAGCGCATGTGCAAATGCTTAATGAGGAATGGAACTCAGATCCTTGGGTTCTTGATACACTCACTATCTTTGCAGGGTGGTGGCAACGGGGGTGGTGGTGGGGGGGGAAGAAAGGGCGTGACAGATGGAGGAGGGAACAACTGGTGGCGAAAGTGGCGAAAGTGGCCCGTTGCTGAAACCATGTTGGTGGCAATTGTGACTTCTCTGCTGACGTACTTCTTCGCGCAGCAGCTGCAGAGCAGGGAGAAGACCTCTACAGACGTCAGTAAAAAAATCATGCAGCTTATCAGGAAGAGGCTCACGAAGAAGTACGATCCGGAGGAGTTAGCAAAGCTAGAAGAAGGTAAGAAAGCCACCCCTGTAGTTGTTTATGCCAGCAAGAGAACCCTTCAAGTTTGGCTACTTTTAAGTTGTGGCTACAAAATTGCAGGCTTCATCTGCTCATGGTTTAGAACACTTTCAAACACAATTACTGGCAGAGCTCAAAGACGCTGTCATAACACTATCGTGTACTGCGCATGTTCTGAAGATGGGGCAGCTAGGGAGCCTACTTGAGTTCATACTTGCTCATCGCACACTTCAACTGCCTCTCAAAGTCTGGTTCTCAAATGACGCCTTTGTTCTGCAGAGCTCGGGGTGCCACTTTTGCCAAGGGACGAAGTGACGCTCGTGCTGGAGTCAACTGGTGACTCGTGCCTCCTGCTGGGGCCGTCACGCTGCGGGAAGACAACCTCCGTCAAGCTGTGGGGCCGTGGCAAGCGCCCCTTCCTCTACTGCTCGATCCGCGGCTACCCGGATTCATGGCTCGCCGAAGCCCTAGGTACGTTGAGAGGCGCTCTCAGACAACGGTTTTAAAGCAAAGAGTTTGTCTGTTGCTGACCCCTGTCGTTACGGTTGAGCTCCTGTCTCTTGCACAACTTAGGATGTAAAGCGATTGGTTGAAGATCTATCTGGTGGCTAAGTTTGTCACACCAACTGATACTAGATCTGATTCCTGGGATTTCACAATGAATCCTCAGTGCTGTATCATATGTTTTAGAGAGGAATTGCTCAATTGCTTGTGATTCTCTTTCCAGCAGTTCAAGATGCTAAGCATTTTGATAAGATTTGCACTCTTGTATAGCAAACAACCACTTGAAGAGCGCGTTTGAAAGGCTGCAAGTGCAGTCAACATTGAGGTGGCCAAGACTGGAAACCTACTTCTCCATATTGCAGATTCTGGAAGGGTTCCTTTTACTAGCACACCATTGCAAATCTAGCAAGCTCTTCAAGAAGACTCTCAATGCCTTGAGACGCTGCAATAAAGCTGATAAGCAAAAGCTGCTCCAGCTGTCATGCCACAATGACTTTTATACTAGGGCATGTCGTTTGTCCTCAACTGAACCTTTGATGTGCTTGTTACAGGGATCCCGGGCGAGTATGCCAAGCTCATCCCGGACAGTGAGCTGCGGACGCTCTTTCTGTCCGCCATCAAAGGGACCGAGGGCAAGCCTGTGGTCGTCATGGACGACGTGCAGTGCCTGCCAACCGAGGCGGGGCAGAAGCTGACAGCGGACAGCAAGAAGCTTCTTGCCTCGTTCATCACGGCGGCGGCGGAAAAGCGGATCAAGCTAGTCTTCCTGGCTTCGGAGGCCTGGGTGGCTGCTGAGCTGAGCACTGGTGCGTTATTCTGATCCTCAGCTTATGTTGACTAGAAGAAATTGCTGACTGCCTCCTACACACAGTGATTTTGAATGAGCAGGTTGCAGTAGAGTGTGCTTCCAAAACCGATTTCTGTACGCTTAACACAAAAGCTATCTCGTCTTGTTCTTTAGGGCTCAGTCTACCCTTGATTGATTTGCCGGAAGGGTTGCTTGACTTGGATCCCGCGTGAAAGGTAGTGTCGCTTCCTGACACAGCTTTGCGGCTCTATTTCAACAGGTCTTTCCAAACTTGAAGGTTTTTGTTACCTTTTCAAACGTCTTGACAACCAGCTCGGATGCACTTGCCAGCACGCTCCGTTCTACTTTCAACATGAGGGCCAACAAGTTGAATGATTTCACAATGTTTCAGGCAAGGCATAAGGACGGCTTTTCTCCCGGAGGTAGTGTCTTTGATACATTTGCTGTGCATCTGACGCGCTTCCTCCGTTCCTCTTCCCAGTATCGGGTGCCAATGCGCGCGTAGAGCGCGTTATGGTTCAGCAACCACCCATGGCGGTCCTCGGGGAGTACCTGAACCGACTGCTGCCGCAAGTTCTGACGCCTGAGCAGCATGGTTTGATCATCCAGACCTCCGAGAGGAACGTCGGCGACCTGGTGAAGGTCGTGCAGACGCTGAGCTCCATGCGAGCAGCGGGCAGGGAGCTGACGATGGACAACGTTAAACGTGAGCGTTGGGTCCCTTCTTCCATGTTTCTTCCATGTCTCTTTCATGTCCCTTCTTCCATATCCAGCCGGTTCATACAGTCGTGATTCAGGTTTGGAAAGGGAGATTGTCTATCGATTAGGGCAGTCATGACATGGTAGACGGGTTTTGTTGGACTTCAACTTGTCTTTGATCACTCAGGAGTGATCAGCGAATGGTGCTTCCTGTCCTCAGAAAGCAGTTCTCATTGAAGAGATGTGGTAGTACACCTCTTCTTCTTCTCCGTGACCTCTTAACCGAATCACTGATCAAAGGTTTATTTGCAGTCGCATGCTACCGCCTCTACGAGCCCGACATCCGGCGAATTGAAACATTCCTGGAGTCCGTCGCTGGCAAGCTTGCCGGCAAGGACGAGCGGGCGGGGGTAAAGATGGCTTTCAGCCTTTTCAAGGCTGCATTGGAGTCGGGAGACGGCAAAGTCCAACTCCGTACTCTCCAATCTAGACTAGGACAGAAGTTTGACAGTACTTTGGGCTCAAACGTCGCAAAGGCGCTGGTAGATTGGAACGTCTTTGCGAAAGGGGAGGGAGTCTGGGCCTGGCACCTGCATGCTCCTCGAATAAAACACGCTTTGGCAGTTGTTTTGGAAGACAAGTCAGGACCAGACGACTTGAAATAAAGAAGAGCAAGCTGCATGCGCCCTTAGCCCAAGTTGGCAATCCAACAAAGACTCTTCTCGCCAAAGTCAATTGATGAACGTGCACGTGTTTATAAGGCACAAATAAACGATACTTATAAGCCGCCACATCATGCATTGATCTCGTGCTTGTTGGGCCTCACGAATCCACGAACTATGCTTGTGGTGCTCGCCACCAGTTACGAGGTGTAAAAGTGTGTTACATAGTCCTCAAAAGAGTTCGAAATGAACTCTTTTATACTATGAGTTAATTTTTCCGTTCCTATGTCCCGAAATTCCTTGCTCATAGTATAAAGTTTTCCACTTTGAAGTGACCTGGCAACTATCAATCTAACTACTTTTCTAGAAAGATATCTCTATAAGACGTAGTATAAACTTTTCTAGGGATGATCGGATTGAGAACTATATGTAAGTACACACTTAGGGACAAAACCTGACTTGAGGCGTTATCGCCCTAAGTCAGTGCTCGGATGGTATTACGGCACCTGACACAACTGGGTATCGGCGACCGTCAGGGGCCATTCGACCCCGTTTCGCCCTACTTGACCCTTTTAGCCGAGGGGGGCTGACGTGGCGGCCCCTGAGTGGCCCCATTTTTATGCCGAACTTCATTTGGCTTGCTGGAACGCGAGCACCGAATACCCCGCGATAGCGGCAACGGGACGGTTGATCAAGATGCAATATTTTGTTGAGGCCCAGGCGGGGGCCCGGGGCCCGGGGGGGCTCACTTTTTTAGGG